AGAGGTAGTGATCTCGAGTTCCCTTGTGACGTCTTTGGATTTGGTAGCAGAATACTACTGGCCTCGTCAAATGAATCAGGAAGCACTCCCTCCCTTCCTTCTATTTTTTGGAACAGTCTGGGAAGAACTGCTATTAATTCTTCTTTAAGAACCTGCCAGCATTCACCAATGAAGCCATCTAGGCCTGAGATTTTCTTGTACGTAGTGCGTTTTTTTTTCTTCCTTTTTTTTCCTAGCCACTGATTCAATCTTTTTACTAGCGATAGGTTTATTCTGATTTTGTATTTCTTCTTGATTCAGTTTTGGCAGTTTATTACTTTCTAAGAATTTGTTCATTTAATCTAAGTTATCTAATCTGTTAGTATACAGTTGTTTATAATACTATTACAATCTTTTTATTTCTTTAAGGCGGCAGTAACGTCTCCTCATTCATTCTTGATTCTTGAGTCTCTTTACTGGTCGGCCTTGCTTAAAGGTTTGTCCATTTTGCTGATCTTTTCAAAAACAAACTCAGAGCTTTACTGATTTTCTCTACTTTCTATTCTCTATTTTGTTAATTTCATTCCATTATTTCCTTCCTTCTGCACACTCTTCTTGTTCTAGTGTTTTAAGGTTAAAAAGGTTATTGATTGAAATCTGTCTTCTTTTGTTAATATAGGTGTTCAGAGCTACACATTTCCTGCCAGGGATTGCTTTAGCTGCATCCTGTAAGTTTTGGTATGTTGTATCCTCATTTTCAATCATATAAAAGTGTTCTTCTCATTTCCCTTTCGATTCTTCTTTAACCCACTGGTTATTCAGGACAGTGTTGTTTAATTTCCACATCTTTATTTCCCAAATTTCTGTTATTCATTTCTAATTTTACAACACTGTCATCAGAGAACATTCAGTGTATGATTTCAATCCTTCACAATTTACTGAGGCTTGCTGTATGGCCTAGCCCACGGTCAGTCTATCCTAAAAATGTTCTATGTGTACTTGAAAAGAATGTACATTCTGCTGATGTTGAGTGGACTGTTCTGCAGACATCTGTTCGTCAGAGTCGGTTCAGAGAATTCCTTCCTTGTTGGTCTCGTACCTAGCTGTTCTAACCATTACTGAAAGTAGGGTACTGAAATCTCCAAACTGCTGCTGAATTCTCTATTTCTCCCTTTGGTTCTGTCGGTTTTTGCGTCATGTGTTCTGTGTCTCGGATGCTGGCTGCGGTCCCTGCAGAGGATCTACGATGGAGCACTGGTGTCTCTCTTCTTCACTGGCTCTTTTTGCACCATTCTTGCTCGACAACATTCAGTGTGATGCTGTCCATCTTCACGCTCTCTGGGTTTTTCCAACCTAGCCTCTAAATATGCCTACACTTAGCAAAGTGCAGCCCATATAATGATCATTTTCTAGATTCTTATCTATCTTCAACAGTTAAAACTAATTAAGACCATTTTGCACTACGATGCACCAACGGCAGCCAGTAGCAATTTGTTTGTTTGTTTGTTTGTTTTTAAAGAGATGCCTAACTTACTTAACAAAGCCAATATCACTGCTGTAGTCACTACACTTCCCAATCCTTTCAGGTTCCCACCACATGCTAAGGGGTGAGGTGTCCGTGCAGAGGAGAATCCATACGGTCTTAGACTCTCCCTCTACTCCTGTCCCAAGCAGGGACTTCTGCCTGTTTCTTTATAGGAACAGTGACCTGATCTGATATAGAAAGGTTAAAGGCAGCCTGGGCCAGGTGAATAGCACAAATCTCTAAAAGGTAAGAAGGAAATGAATCAGAACTGGGGCAAACTATGTGAAACTGCAGCAAGCCCCGGGCTAACCCAATCTGCTGGGAGTAGGCCGATTCCAACACAAACTAAGGTTACTGGGCAGTGGCTAAATTAACCTTAGGAACAGCAATAAATAGAAAAAGCCGTCCTCCCTAACACGGCCATACGCTTTTGGACAATCTTCAGATAGCTGCCTACTTAAGTTTATATTGATCCAGGACATATTACTACTCTTAAAAGAACTATGCAACATGTATCGACTCTACGATTTCTTAGAACTCTCAACAAAGTAAAAAGTCACTTATTATCAACTGTGCTTCACTGTCAGGATCAAGGACTGTTCGCCCTGTGTAAGAAGAAGAAATGGTGACAATGTGTGAACCTGCCCTAAACTCCACTTATGTAAATTAGTACATGTGCTGCCGAAGCAAGCACACTGTTTACGTAGCGCTGACTTTATTAATTACATCGCTCTATACATTTTCAAAGAAATACATACTTAATACTTACATTGAATATAAAAGGTACAGTTTGAACTTTTAAGAAAATCAGTAGCAGTACTTTAATATTTCTTATAGAACAGATCAACCATTTAGGTATAATTTCTACAAAATATATTTAAAATTATGGATATAAAAGCATGATTAAAGTTATTATATTAAGCATTAAACTTAAGTTGTACTCAATGTTTGATGAGAATAAAAACTGATATAACTTTGAAAGAGTAAAAAAACTATATCATTAACTGTGAGAACATAAAAATTGTTTTGAAAACAAGAGAGAACAGAATATGCATTACACACTGGAAAGAACTACTGCCCCACATGACAATCAAAAGAGCGACAGTTGAAGTGTGTACATACATCTGCTTGACCGCCTCTCGACTGCGTTTTTGCCAGCCTTCACGGTGTCCTTTCCCGTGTGCTGTAACTTTGATTGATTCTGCTGATGTTCATTAGACAACTTGCCTCCATTCCTCCTGCCATTCACCACCATGTTCTTGGATTCTCCCAACCACTTCATACCCACAGACAGCCTGACCCAGGTGCATTTAGTCACTCTCTTCAAATAGCTTAGAGAATAATTTCAATGTTCTCTCCTAACAGAAACAAAATATGAAAAACAAAACAAAATGGGAAGGTAAATACATAAAAGACCATGCTACACAGACCCTTGAGAAAGACAGACTATTACAAGTAATTTAGTAATTCCTGTTTCCATCTTTTAAGGACTATCTTGGCGCCCACGCCATCCCTGTCACGCTGAGGGGTCTGTGGTGGCCCCAGGTTCTGAGGAGGGACTCAGTCTGTCTTGCTCACTGCTCACACTTTGAAGAGCCACTGGTAAACAGGAAGTGCTCGAGGAATACTTATCTTTCGGTTACCAATAAGAATGATCTTTGCTCCTTATTATGCTGATACCTACGTATAGCTCAATCATCTGCTCAAATTACACATCCTGGCAACATTCTATTAACTCTGTGGGTAAACTACAAGGAAGTTATCTCTTGCCTACAACAGCTTTGTCAAATCTTTTTGCTGTTAGCTGAAAGTCGACATTTAAGGTATTTAAGAGTATCTTATCAAATATCAAAGCACTGCCCATCATAAAATGTCTACCTTAGCGGTCCTTTATAATGGCAACGAAAATTGAGAGATTATATTTGCTAATACAGAGGTATCTCTCACTATCCGATTTTAATTAGCTGAATTTGGGAACTGAACGATTTGGATAGTGAGGGATGCTTGTAATGTATAAGGACTTTTAGGAGTAAGAATATAATAGGTTATATTTGCTGGCAATGGACTAAGAGGAAGGATGCCCATGACATGACCTCATTGTGGAATTATGTTTTCAGTATACGTTAGACTAAAAAGGCTCTAGGATAAGAAAGTGCAAAAACATGGACCCTGAGAGCTAAAGGAACTTTAAGATCCCAGTACAAGTCCTTCAGTTTGCAGATGGGAATGAGGCCAGAGACTGAGGGGACGCGCCCAGCGGCACGCGATCGGCCTGCAGCAAAATCAGGAGGCGAACCCGGCGCTGGTGCCCAAGGTGCTCTCGCTGCACCAAAGGTCGAGTTCCCTTACTTTTTAAAAACACACAAAGTACAAAGAATAAATTACTATAAAATACCCCTAGAAATATATAACTGGACAGACCTTTAATAATAACCAACATGAACACAAAACATTAATTTTTACTTGACTTCAGGTTTCTTTCGTGTCATAGAAATTTTGTGTGACTTCACAGTGGGGTAAAATGAATGTGTGACATGCTTAGGTAAAAAGAAATACTGATCCACATTAAATATTCTTTTACGATTGTTCTCCAACATGTGTTTTTCTCCTGGGTCCTTCGTGATTTCAATTCAATTAGTATTCAACTTCTACTGCGCCTACCTTTTGATTCTTCTCATAGGCTTCACTAAACCCAGAAAAACACTGCTGCTTAAATAATAGAAAAAGGGTGAGTAAAACTATCAATACATCAGTTATAAGCTAAAGATTTTTCAGTTAATAGATTTTCTCAAATTAAATATAAGACCTCCTAGTGATGATCTAATATCTTGTATTTGCCCTTAGAAGAAAAGTCACCAAACTCAAGAACAGTGTACTGCTGAAGCGTAAAGAAATAGAAAGACTGGGAAAAAGGCAATGTCCATGACACTGACTTTCTCCTCCACCTGGAATATAGTAACTAGTGTCCTTTTTGCCTGGCTAATCTCTTCATGTTCCAGGAAGTCTTCCTCGACCCCCACTGCCAAATCCAGGTAGACACCCCTCCTACAAAACCTGGGTGCAAGCCCCTATCGCACTGTCTAGTAATGGTCTGTCTGCCTCCTTAATGGACTGAGAGTTTCTGAGGTCAAGAATTTTTCCTTTCTCACCCCAGTATCCAGCACCACACAAAGTAGGTAAGAGGCACTCAACTGATGCAAGAATAAATAGATGACGCTGTGGTCTTAACCACCTAATAGAACCTGTATTTCTGTATTTTCTTAAACTGTACATTAAAGTTATAACCTGACCTCTGCGAACTCTCCTCTTTCCCAAAACACCTGTGCTGCGAAAGGCAGCGCGGGAAGCTCCCGCACAGGCAGGCGTGGCGGAAGCACGGCCACCGCCAGTTCGACCCGCCCCCACCTGAATTACTCTTTCTGGTTCGCCCCCTAGGTTTGCACCTCCAGAGAGGAAGAACGAGGAGGAGAAGGTAAAGCTTCTGGTCTCGTAGCAAATCTGTCTCAAGGATGCTCACATGGAATGCCCGACGACGGATGACGACTGCAGAATGTTTTCAGGACCCTTAGGCATCCCGACCTGCCTCACTGAGAAGACGTGCAACGGACCACCGGGAGGGGAGGGGAGCACGGTGGCTTTGGGGAGAACTGAGAGAAAAGAACTAGATCATCACGCCACAGAGAATCCTCAAGTCCCAGCCCAGATTCCCACACAGAGATAACAAGCAGACACCTGAAACGAGGCCCAGAGATCTGTTTTATAAACCTTCCAGGTGACTCTGCTGCAAACTCCAGTGTGAGAACTACCCTTAACTTATTCACTCGGTCATCTGTTAGGGCAAAGAACAGATGCCAAACTTTTAAGAAAAATTATGGAATAAAACATTTTTAATTTGAGGAAATTACATGTATCAACCTAATTTTTCCCCGAGAATTAGGAGAAGTTCACCAATAAATCACTTCTAGCGGCACACTTCAGCCCAGTTCATGGAACACAGACTGAGACCCACTCTAACTTGTACATAATTTCTATTAAATCTGTTAATGATCCAAACTGGAGCAAATTCATAACCTTGGGTCTCATTTATATTGCAGTCAACTGATACTACTTTGTCTGAACTTGTGGTACCCTGGAGTAGGAGGCATTCTCTGTCACAGCACGTCGCTGACTGTCACCAGCACGGCTGTAGAGCGCGTGTCCGGATATATTCTGGCGGAGGCTCCGATACTCTCCACTAGTCCAGGTAACAGCTCACTAAGGCAAAAGACCGTAGGCTCACAAATGAGTATTTTGTGAAAGCAGTTCTAGTCAAGCTATCAGAAATTCTGGGGCCATTTTTTCACTCAAAATGAATAGATACAATAAACGCTAATAACTATCAGGCCATTGTTGCTCTGCCCCACGAGTGCGAAGTCTGCTCCTGAGGCACTGATCTTCCTTGTGAGACCACGAACAGGAGGGGCACTTACCTGTTACAGGTGGAGGTGGAATTTCAAAAGCTCACACAGTCCCCAGTGACAGACTGCGGGGAACAGGGCAAAGGCACTGGGCGGCTGGCAAAGTCTCAAGGCTTCACAGCTCCCATAGAGGTGCTCCCCGTGAAGCAAGGGTGCAGTCCCTCTGCCTGGAACCCCGCTGGCTCACACGGAAATGCCACCATGGTCTTGGCTCGGTTGACAGTACGGAGCTAACAGGCCACTGACTATATTTAGAACTAAAAATTACCTCAAATTTTCCCCAAAATTGTCAGAAAAAAAATTTCAAGAAAAGAGTACTAGCCACTCCTTAAATGGCATAACAGCTGCCAATCTTTCTCTGTTCTGATTTCCCCGACATACAAATATCAGGAAAACGATTAGACGTCTACTATATTCCAGACACCGTTCTAGGCACTAAGGACACAGTAAAGAACCAAACGAGGTTTCCGCCCTCATTTGAGCTCATACTCTAATGAAGAAAGCTCTGCAGAATAACAAACTCACAAATAAATGCCAGCAACCTTGGAGCAAGTAAAGCAGTTTCTAAGTGGCACAGGGGCCTGATGGGGGACAGCCAGGCAGCACCGGGGTGGGGGTGGGGCTGCACGAGGCAATGGGGCAGACAGAGCTGAAGGGGAAAAGCAGTTGACGAATCTGACCACAAGCACCGAGCCAGTGTGGCCGGGGCAGAGAGGGGCAGGAGGTCGGTCAAAAGCTGCTGGAAGAACACGTAACACAGGGCCTCAATGCCACCGCAGAGACTTGCGCCCTGACCGTCGATGAGACGGAAAGCAGAGGAGTGACATGATTCATGCTACAGTCCTAAAGGACCGTGTTGGCTGCCTGCCTGTGAACTCACGAGGAGCACTTTCCAAAAAAGCAGCTATTAGTAATTTGGGGGACAAGAGAGAAAGCACCAGTTAAGGGACTGCAATAAAACCAGAGCAGAGACGCTCGCGGCGGCAGTGGTGAGAAGTGGCTGCTTTCAGGAACTTTTCTGAAGGTTTTGCTGATAGACAGGACTTGCTAACAGAGTGTGTGAAAGAAAGAGGACTCAAACGTGCTTCCAAGTGGAAGAATGGGATTCGCACTTGTGGAGGCGACAAAGATTACGGGAAGACCAGGTTTGGGCAGGGGTTGGGATGCAGGCACTTGGTTTTGGTCATGTTTGAGATGCCCATCAGAGATCAAGCAGAGAAGCTGAGGGGCAGCTGGGCACAAGGACCTGGCGTGCAGGTCCAGGCTGGAAAGATGAACTCGGGAGTCAGAGTACTAATGGTATTTCAAGCCATGGGACAAGATGAAGTCCCCTAGGGAGTCAGGCCAGAGAGAAGTCGAAGGGCAGAGGGAGCACCCTCACATTTACAGATCGAGATGAGGAAGGAGCAGCGAAGGATGCTGAAAGGAGCAACCAGGAAGGAAGAGAAGCCAGAGCCAAGGAGGGACCAGCACTTCTGGAGGAGGTAACCAAGTTGGGCACAGGCTGTCAGGCTCAGAAGGCAAATTCCTCTTTTATGAGAGTTGAAACTCACAAACAGGATTGGCCACTCACGATCTAAGCACCTCTTTCAGAAAACAGAGAGCTTCTAAAATGGACATAAAGTCTCAAAACACGGACTTCTAGGAAAAGTTAGATGGCAGAGGGAAATGTGAGGAATAACGAATAAAGAGTTCTAAGTTCTTTGTTTCAAGAGTAAAAGAGTCGAAATTTCACGTCTGGTCTTCCCATATGAGAACAGATATATGTACATTAAGGTCAGGGTGGGAGATGATGGGAACAGGTTAATTTGAGAACAGCAGGCCTTGAGAGAGTTTATGAAGATCTTTTTATTAAAAAACGGTTTTTAAGCAAATAGCTTAGTTGATTCTCTGGATTGGAC